TTTCCCTGCTAACGTCTGATTCCATTTCAAACGTTTGCGGTCAAAATAAGAATATTGAAAAACTGTAATACTAACGGTCAACCACACATATTCAACATGTACAAAATCGTATTTCTCGTGGCAGTGTTCGCCTTTGCGATTCAAGGAGCATTCAGCGTCCCCGCGACCGACAGTAGCATGGTAAATATTGCGATATTATCATTATATCATTAAATTGTTCCCAATTCTGTATTCAACCAAGAATCTGGTTAAAAATTTAGTGTGCATTTTTCGAAAAAAAAAAAAAATGTAATAAAAAATAATGTAAAATGTAAAATGTAAAAAAAAATGTATAGTTGGTTTTCAAGAACGGTTTTTTTTAATTTTTCGGATAGTTTTTTATATGACTGGGGAAACTAGAGAAATTGATGTTTAATGAAAAATGATTTAAGAAGACGTTATACCAGCATTTACTCTCTCAGTCCAACTACCTGGTAACATGTAAAAACAATGCTTACGGAGAAGACGTAAAACTATCTTAATTTTTATTTTAGTGGAAAATATTTTGGACGGCATGTCATAAGTATTTTTTGGATAACTAAATATTAAAAAATCAAGAGTTAATAAAAAAAAAATAGTTTTTTTTTTTGTTTGATATCGAGCTGTATATTGAACAAAATACAAAATCCCCATGATATTTTTTTTAAAAACTGTATTGAGCAAGTTTTATGTACTCTGCGTAAGCTTTGTTTTTGCACGTTACCCGGTATACTATGACTGAGACAGCTAGTAGATGCGGGAATGAATTGATCTGAGTATTAAATATTTTTTTTCAAGACCTTTTGCTATCAAAAAATAAATGTGGTAAATTTCTTTCTGCTTGTAGTTGGCGAAATGTCGTAAACTAAAAATTTATTGCAAATACCTACCCATCGCAGTGGATTTAGATGGTGCACCGGCCGCTATCGATGAACAATCCGTGGGTCAAGATATCGAGCTTCCTTTAAATGCTGAACCGGCCGCTATCGATGAACAATCGGCAGGACAAGATATCGAGCTTCCTTTAAATGCTGAACCGGCCGCTATCGATGAACAATCGGCGGGACAAGATATCGAGCTTCCTTTAAATGCTGAACCGGCCGCTATCGATGAACAATCGGCGGGACAAGATATCGATCTGCCTTTAAAAGTTACACCGGCTGCTATCGAAAAACAAACGGCGGGACAAGATATCGAGCTTCCTTTAAATGCTGATCCAGCTGTTATTCAAGAACAAACGGCGGGAAAAGCGATCGAAATCCCTGTATAAATGAACCAAAACACAAAATTATTTTATACGCATTTTAATTATCTATATCATAAATGTGCTTAATTTCGTTATCATACAAAGTTTTTGTACTTCAGACGTCTGTAATATAATTATTTTTATAGGTAATATTGTATTAATTTTTTGGTAAACGATTTTTATTAGTTACCTCAAAGATCTACTTTAATAAACATGTAACTATAATAACGAGTCCAGTTGTTCCTGATTCCTCGCATAACGTAACTTTGTCTTAACTTAATTTAATTTTGAAAAGAATGATCATGAGAATAGGTCGTTTTAATCATAATTAAAAATAATTTAAGAAGAATCGAAAATTGTTTAGTTTAACGATTACCATTATTTACCCTGTTAAGGATTATTTTAGTTGATGTTCCTATTGTATTTAGTACTTCCGAAGTAGTTTTTGTTTTTTTTGATTTCCAGTAACAATTAGTTACTGACTATTTATCTAGTTACGGAGTACCTATTAAAAAAAAGTCTCAGGTGTGACTATAACCCTATTAGCCACAGTCCTGCGCACTTCCATAGTGATTATGTTCCTAAATTAGTCGATTATATGTAACGTTCTGATTTCTCTCAAATCATTTGATAACCGATTGGAAAATCAAAAAATTAGCAAGCTATAATTAAATTTATCTACTCAAATCGAGAGTATTTGAGAGAAAACAAAATCGTGGTTATATTCGTGAATGACATCCTAATATTTTTCACGTTGCTGTCGATTGCTGGAACGCTTAATGCGTCTTGAATCGCAAAGGCCAACACCGCCACGAAAAATACGATATTGTACTTGTTGAATATGAGTGGTTGACTAAAGATATTTTATTTTTTTAACGTTCTTGTTTTGACCACGACCGCTTGAAGTAGAACCGGATGTTGGCAGGGACACTGAACGAATGTTAACCGGTGAACCCCTTTTGTTGGCCGTGTAGATTCGTGTGATTGGACATTTTATCTTTTCATATTTACAAAATTAATTTAAATACACTTTCAGTTAGTACGTTATTAGTCATTATTTTATTATCGCAGAATTGTTTTATATTCGGTGCATAGTGAAAAAAAAAAAACGGTATTTTTTTGTGTATGAGTGTGAATAACTTTTCAGCTAGAAATCTTGCTCCGATGTTTAAAGTTAAGTACGATTTCCGAAATAAAATTTTGTCTAGTTTGTGTATAGGAAATGTCATTTTTTGACTTTTCAAAAGGTTGTAAAAATAATTTGGAAATGCATGGAGAATATTATTGGTAAAACAGCAAATATTTACGGCGTACGTTTTGAATTTTTGTAAATTATGTTTTCTATTAGAAATATTTTTGGAATAGAATTACGAAAGGTATCTTTTTAGTAGGTATCTTTTTATCTTTTCAGAATTTTCCCTTTATTTTTTAAATACAAAAAAGTTTGTAATTTTGATGACATTTTTTTATGCGAATTTTAATATCACATTTTGACGAAAATCGTAGTTGTCGGTCTTTGAAAATATGTAATGCCGAACTGCGTTCCAAATCGTTAGTTACGGGTTACCGTTGCCTACAGGTGTAGTTTATACGATTTATTATGCATCCTACCGTGCCGACCCGGTTTAAAAATCTAAGCTTTTTAAACACGTATCGTGTAAATATTAGGTACGTCCGGTCGTTATTGCATCGATTAATTATAAAGTAGGTTTGATTTCAAAACGGTCCAACTACTTTTGCCATTTTAATGCGGAAATAGACAAGTACTTACCAATACTCCAATATAATTATTATAATCATAATTATAAGACGATTTATATAATCTATTAATGTAATATAGACACTTTGAATTATTTTTCTAGATAATTGATGGAATATTTTATAAAATGTATTGCACATTATTATGTGCCTACGTACGGCACGATTTATTGTATTCCATACGATATTCAGTGTCAATAATCCGTAACGGATCCTATTATTGACGATTTCATTTGGAGAGTTTTTCAATTGATGTAATCGTCTTAAAATTATATTAAACTCATCAAGGTATGAAGTATCTGACATAACAATTATGTAGAATTATATGATAACTGGCCGTATATAAGAAATGACATATTATTTATTATATTTTATATTTAATATAATTTATATGTACGCATACCTATTTTATTTTAGAACTATGATCAAGATTTCTTTGGAGAACTATTTAGGGTTTTGAAGCGTTGATTTTACGTGCTTCATGTCTTTTCCATTTGTGAAGAAGATTCTGAGCCGATTTATTTCAGTGCCCATACATATTTTTTTCCGATTCTATGCGTAGTAAAGATTGTGTTGGTTTTATGCGAATTATGATTTTTTTTTTTTTTTAAACATTTTTTCCAGCAGTATAAACTTTCTAACCAGAAATCTTAAATCTTGCTGCATTAAAAAAAATTGTAACTTACCTTTCTTGTTGAATTTTGGCCCTTATTGATAAAATGATGTGGTCATATTTCGATTATTATGCGGTTTTAATCATAATTTGGAAAAACCTCAACCAAGCACATCGAAAAATAAAAAAAATATTTATGGTGGACGATATCATTATTATCAAGTTTTACAATGTCTTTTTTTTTTATTATTATAAATCGTTCTTCGAACAACAATATACGTAGGTACTTTTTCTGAATTGTTTGTTTATTTTCGGCGCAAAACAGAAGGTTTTTGATAATATGTTTGCGTTTCTTTCTTGTATAGTTGGAAAAATCTTTGGAATAATAAAACCTAGTTTACATCATTTATTGTTTGAATTTTTTTTTTTTTTGGTAGACACTATTTAGTTGATAACTTATTTTGGTCTTAATAAACCTTTGCAAATTTAATAAAAGGTTCATAATTATATGTTGTACTATGTTGGTAAAAAAAGTAATGTTATACAATAATTTTATTTTTTTTTAAATAGTATACTATGTAATTTTCTGATATGATTTAACGAACTGCACCAAAATAATGGTTTATCGTTACGTGAATATATGTATAAAATAATTTTATGTATCCAACCTTTGACCTTTACAAATTTCTGCTTACAAGAGTAACATATCCGTGATACAATGAATTATGGTAAAATGATAACAACTATGATTGTTTGAAAAAGATTAAAATAGAAATAATTTCTGTGAAATTATAAAGAGAAAAAATTCGGGCGCAGTTTACATTAAACTTTTTTTAAATAGATAACAAATCGGACGTAGTTTACATTATACCTTTTTGAATTGAATAATAATTTGGGCGCATTTTACAAAAAAACATGGTCATGTTAGTGCAATTTACGTATGCCAGAATATTCTGTCTACCAAGAAATACTAAAATAATAGGTTTTAATCTGTCTTAATAGATTAATAATAACTAAAGATATATAAAAACGGTTGCCAATGACAACCTTATTTTTAATCTTTCAATGTTTTTTAACATAAAAAACCAAGTTTTCTTCGTTATCTCGTATATTAATGAGAATTTTAAAAAAAATTACCTTTTAAAGTATCACCCAGAGAACATTTCCTTTCAGGAAAGGTTGTATACTTGATAATCAGAGAAATCTGTCCGGTAGAAAAAGTGTTCACATAAAAAAAATAAGCATCATTGAAAAACCAATATATTCGTCGCTCCGCTCAAAATCTAAAACAAAATTGAAAATAATAAATTTTGTAAATTTTCCCGTTTTTCTTACATTTTTCCCAATTATTATGAAAACATTCAAGAGATCAAAAAATAACTTCGTTAATGTACCAGTTAGGTACAGTTTTCTTTTAGAAAAGGTGCTACACTTAAAAATTGGAGCAAAAGTTTTAATTGAAAGTTTGTTCATAGAAAAAAATAGACATCATTTAAAATTTATACATTCCACGCTTTGCACAGAATCTAACACAGAATAGACGTTAAAATAAGTGATCGTATAAATCGGATCACGTGCAGACTTTTTCCACCCAAGATGGATTCCATTTAAGATTATGTGTGTATAGACGAATTGAATGAACGTTATCGTGAAAAAAGAATTGAACATATGTTTTACCTCTTTTACCTAGTGTTTGGAATGTTAAAAAATATGGAACGCATTCACGTTCACGTTCGTTGAAAATTCAGTTCGCATTCAGTATTGTCGGAAAATCCTTGGATATCCAAAATTATTATTACGGACCTTATCTTCTAAGTCCGTGTTCCGGAGTTGATTATCTCATGTGCCGTGATCATGCTACACAGCAGGTATTACTAAATTGAGAAATGTAATCCCTATCTAAGGTCTTAATCCAATTACATTAGGCATTATTATGATTTTTTTTATCAAATGAACGTTAAGTACGCGGGAAAAAGTCGTACACGTTCATGAATACGCTTAAATGTCTTCCAATTGAACACGTCCGTGGCTCGATGACGTGAAACCGAACGCGTTCTTTCCAAACACCGTTTTTACCGGCCGTATAAGACTTAATTGGCACTCGGTATCTTATCTCCCTACATGTATATGGATTAAGATATACCTCGTGTTAATTGAGGTGTAACTAAGATTTAGGTACCTCAATTACGCGGGTGTATTATCGCATTATTTGTGTACGCTGTGTACGTAATTAAAATTTGAATACGGTTTAAACATGTTTTTTTAAAACAATAAGACTGGTAACTATTAGGTCAATTCTTCATGAAGTGGATTCAATATTTCAAAACGGTTTATCTTATGCCATTTTACCGTGGAAATAGAGAAGTACCTACAAATATTTCGATATTATTATTATAAACCTAAAGTGATCTATAATAAGACAAACCGCATAACTGCTTTTAATTTAAGGACGCTTGAATGCATGTTTTTAACCAAATTCACCGACTTTAAGATTAATATAGTTTGTTGGTTTTTTTTTTGCATGTGAAAAAAATAACCGGTTTTTTTTGGGGGTATTGGGTTCAGCTCTTATCACGTTATCGCCATCTTCAACAAAAATTCACTCCTACTACACCATTTTGTATTTGAAATGTATTTTTACTACCAACACAGTACTGTAGTCGGAAAACAATTCGAGAGGCGGGGGCATTTCATTTTTTTAATCTAGTTTTTGTTAAGCAGGAATACTTATGACCTGTTATTTTATGACTCTCTTATTTCCTAATCACTCATTATGTATACGCCACCCTAGCCTTGAAAACCTCTGGTCCGCTTGTTAGCCCATCTGTTTTTATTTCTGTATAATCAATAGTTTAATTTTTAAAAATAGTTAAAAATGTATACCTAGGTACTTATTCCATTAACTTTAATAGATAGTAGGTAATTGAGAAGTGATTCATCACATAAATAATTGTATATTGAAATTAAAATCCTTTATGCAAAATTTAACATATTAAACATTTAAACCTCTTTGCTCAAAAAAATACAACGTGCACAAAAAGTACCTTCATAATTGGTAAAATATATACGTAAGAAGAAAAATACAGAAAATGTATTTTTTAAATGAATAACAAGTAGCCTTTTCAAAGATACCTATGTTATAAACCGTGTACAATAATTGCAATCGCACTTCTTGTGGTCTCAGTTTGATCCTTTTTTTCTTATTTAAAACAAGTAAAAAATATTTTAAGAAATAAATTATTATACTCTCATGTACCAAATCCAAGCATTTCAGAAATTCAATAATTTCATGCTAAATAACTTAATATTAATGATGTTATTGAAGGATTAACATCTATGCATGAAAACCGATCAATTGTTTTAATTTAATGTAATAATTAATATATAAAACTTATTAATTAATAACATTTAATATTATAATTATAACCATGTATCTATAGATACCTGTATCAATAAAGGTATCTATAGGTAACTTATATTAGTTATGAACTTTTAGATTCTGAGCATAGCGAGGGAACCATTGGTTTTTATTTTTCTTTTTCTTTTTTTTTGCGCCTTATGTAAACAACTTTTTTACAAGAAATTTTGTTTGTTTCATTTTACATTTCATTGGTTATAGCAAGGAAATTGCCTTTAAATATTCTAACCAGTTTTAAAATAATTGGGGAATCCCGGGGGAAAAAAAACGTAGGAAATACGGTATTAATGTTTTCGTCATTTTCGATTTTGTTTTTTTTGATATAAATTCGTTAAAAATTATCTTACCGGGAGCTAACATTTTCACAGAATCCCCCCCTCCCGTAAGCGGTGATTTTGAGCGGAGCGAGGAATATATTGGTTTTTCAATGATGCTTATTTTTTTTATGTGAACACTTTTTCTACCGGACAGCTTTCTCTGATTATCAAGTATACCACCTTTCCTGAAAGGAAACGTTCTCTGGGTGATACTTTAAAAGGTAATTTTTTTTAAAATTCTCATTAATATACGAAATAACGAAGAAAACTTGGTTTTATATGTTAAAAAACATTGAAAGATTAAAAATAAGGTTATCATTGGCAACCGTTTTTATATATCTTTTGTTATTATTAATCTATTAAGACAGATTAAAACCTATTATTTTAGTATTTCTTGGTAGACAGAATATTCTGGCATACGTAAATTGCACTAACATGACCATGTTTTTTTGTAAACTGCACCCAAATTATTACCCAAGTCAAAAAGGTATAATGTAAACTACGTCCGATTTGTTATCTTCATAAAAAAAGGTTTAATGTAAATTGCGCCCGAATTTTTCTTTCTCTATAATATCACAGAAATTTTTTTTGTTCAAAAAACCAATAATCAAAATACCAACTTGGCAATACATCATCAAATTACTATTTCAGTAATACGACAACTGATGGTTATCATTACATCCGACACAGGTTTGCTAGTACCTATCGTAAACATTTTAATCGGTGAAGCCGAACAATTCGTGCCGCAGCGTAAAAAGCGCTTGAAAATAATTTCAAAATTTAAATTTTGTAAAATTAATCGTCTTTTAAGTTCGAGTGAGGATAAATGGTGATGTACAGTAAACATTTTTACAGCATTTTAAAAAACGGTAGGTGATGACGAAATAAACACTGAACAAAATAAAACCATAACCACGAATCATTAAGTGATCAAAACCAAGTAATTTTGTAATTTTGTTTAGTTTTGCAAAAATATAGCTATTCATTTTTAAAATTGTATCCGAGTGTAGTTTACATGTCACCCTTATACACTTGATAAAAACTCGGGCGCAGTGTACATGTGTGATTTTATTTTTACCTGTACCTTGGGCGCAGTTTACAACCGCCGAAGTATTCCTATTCGGGGACACTGCTACGATGGTAGTTTATTTAACGATTCAGATACTCGGAAAATAAAGGCAATTTTAGAGAGTTGTTAAATTTTAGAATATTTTAGCTGGAGACGAATCTTTAAAAAATCACCTTTTTACTACTCAAACTAAAGTAACATATGTAAGTAAAACTGCACAAAATAAACTTATATTTATCATGGGAAATTTAATTTTGGTAAAAGTTTTAGACTTTTAACAAATTTCCAGGTGGAGCCTCCCGCCATATACCTGGGTTCAACAGTGTTCTCAACTAATTACAGTTACTTGGTATTTTTACAAAAATGAAGTACTTGAGAATTTCATTGATTTTCTAGATTGCTACCAGGATAATAATAGTAATACTGGGAGAGAAATTGAACCAAAAATCACTAGAGAAGTAATTAGTAAATCAACTTTAAATATTTTTGATAAATTTGGTTTACCAAATGTGTGTGGGAATAGAAACAGATGGCTGTTCTATAATGCTATCTGAAAAATGTGGAGCTGTAAATATGTTACGAGCAAAAATGAAAAACCTAATAAAATGTTCACGTTATACGTATAGCTACGTGTTAAATTTATCTATTATGAAAGAATATTAAATTAAATTCATAAAAAAAACTTTTGGTTTGATAAAATGAATTATACATTTTTTTCAGTTCTTCTGCAAAAAAAAAAAAAAGTACGTTCAATAATAATTATTGATGCTTTAGATAAAATATCAGACTGGAACGATATTGGTATTTTTATCTAAGGAATTTCATTTATCTAAATCAGTAACTCCTGAGTTTCTCTTAACGTTGAATATTGTTTTTAAAATGTTTACAGTAATATCGCAAATTGCTATATTGCTACAGTTTAAAAATCAAGATAAATTATCAGCTGCAACATTAATTAGATCTGTAATTAAAAAAGAAGCGTTTGAACAGTGATGAATGTTTCAATAAAATATTTGATTAGTATTGAATTATTTAAATGTATCCCGAGACAGAGACGGATCCAGGGGGAGCTTTGGGGCTCAGGCTCCCCCAGACATATTATTTATCCGATTTTCATACGAGAATCGTATGAGAAAACAATATGCATAGTATATTATATTATATTTCAATTGTATTTGTGTTGTAAAAAAATTGTTGGATCTCCCTAGATCTTTGCTCTGGGTCAGTGCCTGCCCTGAGATATATTTGGAAAAAAAAAACAGAACTGGAGAATTAACCCTTTATTGGCACGGGTATTGACTAAACGAGAAGCAACTATTGACGTACCTATGACGTATCGATGTTTTGAAACGTTTTGTCTAAGATTGCTTTCCTCGAATCAATATTTTTTCAAATATACTGGAAACATTACCAGCGACCACTGCATCAGCGAAACGCAATTCATCATCTTTACGGTGAATAAAAACACGCATAAGATCGTGGATATTGGAAGATCGATTGACTGTCTTCATTACATTCGTATCGTGACATAATGAATTCTGAGGATGTGATCGACGTGCTTGCAAAATCCAATAGACGACTAGATTTTGTTTTAAATTTAATGATTACGCGTGTTTTTATTTTTTAATCATTTGGTCATCAGTACCTATTAGTTATAAGTTTACTATTTGGTATATATTAATCGATAACAATGTTGTATTTAACACAATAACAAAATTATTTCGTATAAATTATTTTAAATACACACACAGTCACGCACACATAATTAGATACTTATTTTTTTGAATATGCACTATTCGACTTTCTCCTTTACCTTCTTCTGCTCTTAATACAAATCTGAATCCACCCCTGACTTATATTAGCTTGTTATAGCCTATTTTGTAACTATGGGTATACTTCAGTTATAAAATTAATATTTCTTTCGGCCCTACCAAAAATTAAATAGCACCCAATTGGCCCTCCCTTATAAAAAATTCTCGCATTACCACTGTATTATAACCTCTTAGTTTTATAAGTTAACTTAAAGTCTACAGTCTATGTAAGAGAATATATAAATCACTAATTTTAGAAAAGAGAATTATCTTTAAAATTAAATTTCACAGAAGACACAAAAAAAAAATATGTCTAAGCAAGACTAAACTTTCGTAAACTAATATGAACACACCACTGGTAACAGTTTTAAATTATTGTTGGACATGTCCTCGCTCTGCAATTTTTTTTATTTGTATAATATTTTTACAACACAAACTTAGAAACCGATCGACTCAAAATGGCATTAATAAATAACGGAATGAAAAACTGTTGGCTGGTAATAATAAGATCTGAATAAGAACCGAGTTGTTGCAGTAATTTATTGAGATATTTAGTGCAGAAAATGACATGTCCTGGACTTAACTCAGTGGACATAATACTTTTTTTTTTTATAAATATGTGTTCATAATATTCAACAGCACAATATAAACAATAATAGTACATAAATAATATAAAATTAAATTAAATCACATTCGTATATTAAATTTTCTAAATTAAGTGGCAATAATTACCCAATAAAATAATTTTAAATTAATTGACTTTTAAAATAGAGGATACAATATAATAAAACAAACGATATGTAAAATAACAGAACAGACATTTAACAATGAACATTTGTTTAATCTTCATTCTTCAGTCATTTTATTTTTACAATTTAACATATAATATAGTAATTTAACGACCTACTTATCATACAGGGTGTCCCATTGATTACTCAAGATTACCCATCGTAATATCTTCGGAGATGAATAAGATAATCACATTTTTTTTTTTATTTTTTACATTACTCACAGGGATAAGGACTACAAATATTGATATTGCAATTAATTTTTATAATTTAAGTAAAATATTTTTAAAAAAAAAAAACTCTATAAAATGGCTATCTTCAAATTTTTCAAAAACTGTAAAATAAAAAGTTATTTTTTAAATTTTTTTATCAAAGCTTAAAAAATTAATTGCAATATAAATATTTGGATTCTTTATCTCCGTGAGTACTAATAATAAAAGAAGAATTTGATAATAATTATTATTTCTGGAGATATTACAAATATATTTCATGGGATACTGTATACCAGAAAACAAATAGGTATGCACAAAAATTATTTTTATGTCTACCAAACTTAGCACAAGAAGAAGTATCGTTTTTGTAACTAATGTCCAATTGCTCCGATGAAGTTTTCCAGCGAGTTGCTTGAAATTTCTTAGATAAATGAATGCACTCCATTGTTCTTTAAAACTTTGTAAATTCCTTGAAAACCTTTAAACATTTTTAAACTCACTATTAGTAAAATTAAAATTTTTATTAATTTAATTCAAGTTTTATTTATAAATGAAACTAAATTTGATTATCAGTCAATTTTTTTTTTTATTGAATGTTCACCATAACCCAATATACGAGTATATAGGTAGTTTCTATTAATCAGTTTTTAATTTAAGTTAAAATAATTAAATAACAAAAATATTTGTGAATTAAATAAATAATTACAAAATAATGTTGCAATTTAAAATATAATTTAAAAAAAATGAATTCAATAATTTGTTTACAAAAGAGCTCTGGTTAGTAAAAGTTAGTTTAGAAAGATTTAACATTAAATCTAATATTGTACGTATTTTTTCAATTTTAATGATAATATTAGATAATATTACAATAAACAAATAGAATTGTAAGAACTAGGCAATACAGAATATATGAAATTAGAATGGGCATTTCAGAGTGTAAACAAAAGTCGTGCAGTCGTTTTTTTGATATTCAGTTTCTGTATACAACATAAAAGAACAAATCATATTTAAATAAAATATATATTATTTATTGGAAATGTTTATTACAGGGGGCTAACTATAATTCCAAAAATGTATTAACTTATCATTGTGACTATTTGATTTCTAAATGTTTACAAAACACTCGTATAACGTTTGAATTGTTGCAAGATTCAGTTTTGTTTAATTACTTTAAAAGTTACTCAAATAGAGAACTAATTGCTTTTTGTAATATCATCAGACATTTTATAACTACATAAACCAATCAGACATTAATTAGGTACCAGTATTCCATCTTTAGAAGTAGAAAATGGTGAAAGTAAAAAATTAGAAAATATAATTAAAATCGTTCCATTTAATTATCCCTGTACAGAGTTCGATGTGTGTTTTTGATGTTCGAAATTGAGTGTTTAAAATTATTATCTATCGGTTTTGGGATATTTTAAAAAATTTAAATCGAAATATACTCGCTCTTCCAAAAAAATGTTTCTAGTAAATTTGTTAATGACTTTTGTCCTGGTAAAGTAAAAATTTTAGATACAATTCTATAACACTTTGCACTTTGTTTATATTAGGACAGACATAATAATTTTTCGTTAATAATGAATCAATTTTATTTTGATTTGATATTTGTTCAGTGCACTATTAACACGTCACGCTCTATACCGCCACATAAATGATGCTACAACACTCTCCCTCGACCTAAACTTAAGAGCAGAATATCTCGTCAACGGATTGACGAAAATTAAAAATGTTAACACCAACGTTTATTTAAACTAATACTCCATCTATTTATGGAATTTTTTCTATAGGTTGCTTTTTAAAAATCAAAAGTAGGTATAGCGGATTTAGCCACAAAAATTGGGAAATTCAATTTAATTTAAACAAATTAAAAGTGTTTTTATAATACTCACTTAAACAAATTGTGTGTTCATTATCAACTGGAAATTCAATGCTGGACATATATACGTTTTAAAAATCGACATCAGATGTTTTAGACATTTGACTCGATTAATGAACAATATCTTTCCCGGTGATATTATGTGCTACAAACATTAAAATCCGCTACCATACCTATAATCAAAAATTATGATCTCAAAAGTTCTTTCAAAGTTTTCTGTATACGGGGTGATCAAACTTAGAATTAAGTAAAGTACACGTTAGGTTTATTTGTATAATACATAATATATACAATACAAAACATCTAAAATAAAATTCCACTCTTCGAATTTTGGGTTCCGAGTAGAGCAAAGAAGCTTATAGTTTTACAAATATGTTTAAATATTTATGATTTTTTTTCTGTGGACAACTTTTCTACCAGAGGACTTGCTCCAATTTTTATGTGTAGTCCCTTTTCTAAAATCAAATCGGTGTAGGAAGGTACCTCAAACAGTTCATTTTCTTAAGATTTTTTCATCAATTAAGAAAAACCGAAAAAAAAAAACGGGAAAATGTACGAAATGTATATGTATAATATTAAGGTTATTTTCTGTGGACAATTTTTCTACCAGTTTGTTTTATCTTATATTGTAGCAATTTTTCTGAAAGTGAATTTTACTGGGGAGTAGCTTGAAAAGAGGTCGTTTTTCGATTTTCCCTGGAGATTTCTCAACAAATGTAAAAAACCGAAAAAATCTTAGGAAAAACAAGAAAATGTACGAAATATATTTAAAGTAAATAAATATATAAATAAAAAATATATTTATAAAAACAAAATAAATAAGAAAATAAGCCTGGAGTATTACGATAAGTTATTATACGACTGGTTTCGAATTAAAAATTCATCATTAGGTACATCACAGTCAAAATGTAAAAATGTAAAAAAGAGCTGCTACTGCGGATGTGAGCGTTCACTAGTATTGGTAAGAATGAAAGAAAGAAGTCGGGAAGGTAGGATACATAAGATTATTTCATTTATATCTGTAAGCAACGATAAACCATTGCTTGACGAAAGACGATTCCGAGCGCAATTCGGTAATGCATAATTCGAATTGCCGTAATTTTCTTTGCGATTTTCGTTTAAATTTGATTTCAAAACGCTTATTACAAAAAACAAAATTCGTCCAATGTTATTAAAAATTTGAAGAAGGTTTAGGTTTAAATCCAATATAAGTATTATTAAAAATGTTCAAGTCTCTACGTGTTATAACCAAATTACAGCAAAAAACTCCTAAAAATTAAAATTCCTTAAAAACTCAAAAGTGGCTCAAAAGTTTTGACGATAATACCGTAAGAATTAAATCAAAAAATCAACAAAAAAGGTGTCCTGTGATTAAATAATCTTTTCTGGTATAAAACGTTGACCGTGTTTTTATAAAATAACGAAATCGTGAAATTGTAAGTTTTTCTACGTTTTTTCCCACTTCAATGCTTTTATTTATAAAACGGCCTCGAAAATCAAAACAATGATTTTTTTTTTTTAAAGTACAATTAAGACAAATTGAGCTTTCAGAAAAGTTGCCCTACGTAAAAATTTAAGCAAATTTACTAGGAAGAAACATATCTACAGACTAGTAGAAAAAAAAAATAAACATCTTAGTAAAACCAATAGCTCCCTCGGTACGCTCGGAATCTAAAATTAAATGAAGGAATACACAAAAAAAAAAAAAAAAATCACATAAATTGGCCGTTTTACATAAAATATAGAAATAATTCATTTCAATAGGAGAGATTATAGACATAGATATGTTAAGAAATATAAATTATTTGGTTGTTATTTACTATCTAAAATGTATTGATATAAAATATTATTTTTAAAATCGGTTTGAACATATAAATATTATTACAATTATTTTGCTTTATTTCATCGTGAATGTCTAATTCTTCTAAATCCGAATTAATGTAAATGTTATTTTGGGTATTTAGTATTTCTAAGTCTGTGTTATTATCAAAATGTATGGTTATTTTCTAAAATATGTTTAGCAAAATTTGAATTATGGGCAGTCTTTTTAAATTTTATTTCAGGTAAATGTGTTCTTTATATCTTATTTGAACATTTCTTTTTGCCTTACCTGTATAAAAATTATTACAGCTACATTTTATTTTATACACACCATTTATTTCTGAAATAAAATTTAAAAAGACTGCCCCTAATAAAAATTTCGCTTAACATCTATTAAAAAATAACCATTTCATAAATTTCGATATTAATTATGGGTCGTGATTTCATGTGTAATGAACTACACGAGTACTTGTGTTTTACCATTGACGGGGTTAAAGCCCGTGTATACCCGTGTATCTGAGCACTTGTTTTCTTAATACCCGTGAGCTCGTATATTCATATATTTAATTTTGAAGTGAAACTCAAAATCACGTTATCAGCTGTTAACACACTCACACACACACTAGTGTGCACACTGTTAGTGAATGAAAACCATTTTGAAAAACTTTTTATGTATAATGTAGGTCGAACACCTCTTTCAGAATATACCACTATATATATATATATATATACATACCTTTTTATTTATGAATGCAATCTTCTATCTGTTCTGGTCTTTTACAATTTTGACTTTTAATATGTTATCAAGGTCACTATTTTGATTACAAAAATATGTAGATTACTCATGTAAATGCAGATAATAACGCATCCTGAGCAAATTAAGTCTGCCAGTATTAAATCCCGAGAATTCGGATTTTCGTACTATCCGAAATCCTGATTTCGTGTCAAACATAAATTTGCCACATATTCCCGAATCTTCCGGAAATCTGTGAAACGAATGCTTCTTGAAAAGTGTTCGCCACGTCACTGGTCACATATATTAAGCCGAGTGCCTGAATAATATATTCTCGAATCAATCGAAAAACGTTTTCGATTTTATATATAAACAAAATAAAATAACATCAATCGAAATCAATATAAAGTCGATATTAGGTACGTCATTTTTAACAGACAATCACAGGAAACTAAAAGAAACGAGAAAAATAAATAAATTATGTTACACAGTATTTTACGTCGTCAGTTTTTTATTTTATAATTAATAGGTATTACGACTGCGATATTGTTGTAATGAAAATATTTGTTTTTCAAAAAAGATGTAATATCAAAATATTTAATAGGCCTATGATGAATTGACTAAATGTTATAATATTGTCAAAAACTATTAGTCGCAATTGTTTCAAAATAGTTTCCGAACAATAATAAAAAAAAAAATCAATACAATTTTATATACGTATAATAAGAATTAATAATATTGTTATTAATTGTTATATACCTAATATACGTTCGTGGTACAAATATTATAATTAGAATAAAAAAAAAAAAAAAAACAATAATAATAAAAATACAACATGTTTATTATTATTATTATAGGTAGGTATAATTTTTTTTTTTTGTTCCAAATATAATTATATAAAGTTACGTATTATTATTATATTATGAAAAAATTATGCGTGTCGGAGCATCATTCGATCTACAACAGCATGTGTTTGGCGACCAAAGCTAACGAGGAAATTTGTACGAGGAGGACGCAAATTTCCGAGCTCGAGGCACCGCTGGTCTTCGGGGTGGTCGCGGGTGACACAGTGCTGCCTTGTGTTGTTTCTTCGTTGGCGCCGGACGCTAAAGCCGCTGATTTCGGTAAGATTTCGGGATTGACATCGACGGCGGATTCGGGCTTTAGAGTGAGAAAAACAGAATGAGAAAAAAAAACGAACATTTAGTTTTAAATAATATATCCAGTACAATTATATAAAATCGTTTTTTTTTTTATCAGGAAAAACACCCATAGTACTAATACACACGCATTTTTTATTCGCGAACGCAAATCTACAAACTGCAGCAATAATTTGTCTAGCGCAAAACTATAT